CTGGCGGAGCCGAGAACTCGGGGCCCCACTCTTCAGTGCGCCCCCAGAGAAAAACAGTCGATCACTGCCGTCTCTCCGGTCTCTGGCCACACTCATGCTCACCAGGCCAGTGACCAAGCATTTCTATCTCTGGCACACGGCCCCGTTAGGAGTCTCCAAACCCAGCAGGTCCCTGCGGTGCGCTCCCGTGCCTCTCCTCCCGGGGTAGGAAGGGGAGTCTCCCCGGATCTGCCGCTTGTTGGGTCCCTGCTGGAAGATCAGTGGCCCGACTGTGCTGCGGATCCCAGTTTATGGTAGCCCCAAGCTGAGAACCCGTTCCTAGGCTCCGTTTGTGCAGCCGGCTTCCCCGCTCCGATACCTGGGAGCTCTGCCCTGCACTCAGGCACCCCCGGTCTTTTTGTGACCCCAAGGGTCCTGAGACCACACTGTCCCAGTGAGGGTTCCACCCTCTGCTTAGCCACTGGAGAGATGTCTCTCAGCGGAGCCAACTTCTAAAAGTTCCAATTTTGTGCTCTGCGGTTCTATCACTTGCTGATAGCCAGCTGACGGAGGCTCCCCCTACCGCGGTCTCTCTTCCTGTATATCACCTGGAATTTGCTTCTCTGCATGTCCTGCCTTCCAGAAAGTGGTCGCTTTTCTGTTCAGAGAGTTGCTGCTGTTCTTTTCTTTGATCTCCTGTTGACTTCGTAGGTGTTCAGAATGGTTTGATCCCAATTAGCTGAATTCTTGGGACCAGACAAAATTTTGGAAACACTGAATTTTAAGATTTTTTTTCTCTCTTAATGATGAGAGTCTGTTTATGTTCTCACAGTGTCCAATTTGAATATGTTGTATATAAGAGGAAATAGGAAAAAAAAGAGAACTTTAAGAACTAGTGATTTTACTTGCCTGGACAAATATGCCATTGTCATCCAGGTGTCTGAAAAGGTACTTTTACAGACCATGTTATAAAGAAACTTTTATGGTTATCAGATACAGAACAGGATTTCATTAATTCCAGCTTTATCCAAAATGTTTCCTCAAATTCACTTTATTGTAGAATTTGGTTTCTTTTTTTTTTATTTTTAAAGATTTTATTTATTTGACAGAGAGAGTACACAGCGAGATAGGGAACACAAGCAGGGGGAGTGGGAGAGGGAGAAGCAGGCTTCCTGCTGAGCAGGGAGCCTGATGCGGGGCTCAATCCCAGGACCCTGGGACCATGACCTGAGCTGAAGGCAGACGCTTAACGACTGAGCCACCCAGGCGCCCCTAGAATTTGGTTTCTAAAAGCATATATCTCAATGGCCTTTCCCTTTTCTGTCCAGGGTTTCTTTCTAAACATATACCTGGTTTTTTGTGTCAAAGAAAAAATAATTTTAGAAGTGTGAAAAGTTAGTGTCATTAGAACCTCAGTCTCAGGTAAGTATGTACTAAGTCAGTGCATTAAGATTAATTTGTAATACGTTAGTTCCTTCAGAAATAAAAGTGAAACATTTCAAAAAAAAAAAACTAGCTCCAACTAGTATTGTGATTGGATTTTATTGAAAAGAGTTTGTAACTATTTGTCAGTGGGAAGTAGCCTTGACAATTAAAATTTTTTGAGTCATTTCTTCATAGCTGTGGATGTGGAATATTACTTTAAGTTAGGTATATATATTTCTGCCAGTGCTGCTAATTGTTATTCCATAATAGTAGGATTTATTATTGCTGAAAGTGTGACATTTTGTTTTATGTGAAAGAACTAAAATCATTCCATAGATTCTGATATATGTTACTCAGAACTCTGGGATATTCATTTTAACTTCTACATGAAGACATTTTTATATGTCATTTGGTTTTGTTATAATGCTTTGAGAATATTCCAGCACATGAGACTTATAGTTTAGTCTAGACTTCTATTTTTTCTAGCTCATGTGTAAGGTACTTTTGGCAAGTAGGCTGTGCAGCTTCTTAAAAATACAGTTACAGCCAGTTTTTATGATATACCTAAGATTTTTTTGTGTGGTGGCTGTCGATCTTGACTAAACAGCTAGCAGAATAACAGAAGTATGTTTCTGTATATACCTGCATTTCTGGTTAACTCTTTTTTGAAATTTCTGTTTTCCCAGATAGGAAAGTAAAAGTGTACAGACATTGATTTTTCATAACTCAGATTCTTTTTATTTTTTATTTTTTAAAGCCAACAGCTTCTATAACATTATGCTTTGCCCTGAAGTCTAACTTAAAACTGCTTGGAATTGAAACTGCTTTTCTTCTCAGTTTCACATTTGATAAAGGATGCTACCAGTGCTTTTTATGAATGCTTGAGTGTGAAAGACTTAAGAGATTGAACATGTACTTATATTTTGTTAGTTTCTGCTGTATAAACAAGTAGAAGTATAAAGTTTTGAAATGTACTTCAGGATGATACACAGTTGGAAGTATAGAATTATAATATTGGTGAATGAGTGGGACTAAAATAATAGATTTACAAATTAAATAAGGTGGTTTTGAGACCCAAGTGCTGGAGTGTTCACATCAGCAAGTAAAGATAGGACTTTGGGGCCAAAACAGCTTGAGGAACTCCAACTATTATTTGGAATGAGTACATAAGCAGAGGGTTCAAAGCAGCTTTAGATGAATCAGGGAAGTAAGAAAACTAGAAATGAATTGTTAAGGGTGTTAGGAGAACAGAGAGATTTGGTAAGGATGAGAGGGCTCACAGTATTTTGACCATGAATGGATTTAACAAATTACAAATTAATGAGACTGTTTATGTGAAAACTGCAGGTAATGACCAGTAAAGAGCAAAGGTCAGTCAAGGAAAAAAAAGACTGATCAAAGGTGAAGATGTTCACTATAGAATTGAGGTAGAAAACCACTTTTGAGTTTGGAAGAGAAGTTTTCAGGTAGAAATAGTTTTTACATTTTTTTTTTTTTTTTACATATTTGTTTTGAATTTGAGAAGAACATCTTAAGCAAAAGGCTTTAAGAAGGCTGAATAACATATGGAAAATGATGTGATTAAAGATTTCTGCCATTTATATACAACCTGTATGCATAAATAAAAGCATTACTGCATTGTTGTTGCCTTAGTTCTTCGGAATCATTTTAATTATTACTGGTTTTACATTCACAAATCAAAAGTTTGTGGGTTTACCTGGGGAGTGGAAGGGAAAAGATCATGGAAAGAAGTCCAAATTATTGTACTTTGTCTTCTGAAGAATCACAGATCTATAACCCAGAGAGACTCAGTCTTCCTTACTTCTCTGTTAGGCTAATAAATGGCCTATGTGTTTCATAAGCTAAGGGCTATACATTTTCTTGTGTCCTTTTTCTTTTCCAGGGATGGAGTGTTTTTATGTTTGAAAGTATGCTTAATCATATGACTAAAAAAGTCCTTATTTTCTCATTTCATGTTCTTATATTCTCATATAAAATGAATACTTCCATAATATTTAGCACTGAAATATGAATATTTAGTAGCCACCCCTTCTAAAACTATTCACCAAATGAGGGAGTATCAGAATATGAAGAGAATGTAAGTTTTGATGTTACATGGTCTTTGGGAGAAAAGTACAGATCTTTTGTTAGCAGTTGTATATAATGTGATACTTGTTTTTGAGATCCTCCTGTAGTGTAGTGTACTGGTCACTTCTCCCAATAGACTGTAAGAGAGCATTGGGGATCTTACTGATAATCTTGTTCACTGCTGTACCCCCAGAGCCTCAAACAGTGCCAAACACGTTCTTGATACTCAGTAACTTTTCTTTTATTATTATTTATTTATTTTTAAAGAGGGCTGCACACTCGAGTGGTTGGGGGAAGGGCAGATGGAGAGGGAGAGAGAGGATCTTAAGCAGGCTCCATGCCCATTGCAGAGCCTGACACGGGGCAGCATCTCACCATCCTGAGATCATGACCTGAGCCAAAATCAAGAGTCGGATGCTTAACTGACTGAGCCACCCAGGTGCTCCAATACTCACTAACTCTTAATCGATGTGTGAATGAATTTTAAAGACACTTAGAGATCAAATTGATATTAGAATTTTATAGCTATTGAATATATACACACATACAACACACACACATACAATGTTTATGGATAGTGTTGATTTGGGGAGTACCATGAAGTACTGAAAGCTACATACAAGTGGAGTATACATATATATTTCTCAGCTTATTAAGTATCCTTCGTTTTAGTTTAGTTTCAGAAATATCCTTTAGTCCTTAGACCATTTGGAACCACTGATACGGAATAGTGGATAGATTGCAAGTTCTTCAAACAATTTTACATAAAACATCACCTATTTTATTGTGTCTTTAGTAGGACTTTTATTTTTGGTGAGACTTTGGAATCAAGGCAGGTAACTAATTTGTTGATTGAAGTATATCAGTTTAAAGGTCAGAGTAACAGATTAAGTTAATCAAGTCTATGAGTGTTTTATAGTATATAGATGTTGATAGTGACAAAATAGGTAGATTAAGTGGTGGTATGAATAAATTAGGAGAGGCTCATTGTAAGTAAGCCATAATGTGGATTGACTGCATAATTACTTTTACAGAATTGCCTTCTTTGCTCCCACTTTTGAGTGTGATATTTTCCAAATTGAACCATATATAATTTCCCAGGTAAAATTACAGTCTCCTTAATTTTTGCCAAGTCAAAAGTTTCACATTTTTTATATTTCTGTTAGTCTGTAATAAAATGATTAAATTGTAAGATAATTGTGTTCTTTAGCACAATTTCTTTATGAAGTTGTATTTTAATGTGTTTTTGCTTATCATTTGTTACTCTTTACATATACTGTTCAGAAACATTTATCTAATAGTTATCTTAATTGGTAATGTTAATTTTATTTAATAGTAATTGGTAAATATGATTTTCTCTATTCCTTTGGAAGCCCGGCTTTTGAATTTTTAGGAATTATTCAGGTGTACTCAGCTATGTTTTTAAGTTCTTTTTTAAACTTTGTTTTGTGTTATTTTTTTTTACACAAATGAGGAAAAATAATAAAGACTTTTTTAATGTCTTTCAGCCAATGGTAATGATAGCAAAAAATTTAAAGGAGAAGATAAAATGGATGGTGCTCCTTCTCGTGTACTTCATATTCGAAAATTACCTGGTGAAGTGACAGAAACTGAAGTTATTGCTTTAGGCTTACCTTTTGGTAAGGTGACCAACATCCTTATGCTGAAAGGGAAAAATCAGGTATGCTTCTTTCAGGACCTATAAAATGTTAAGCCCCAAACTACCCAGCATGCATGAATTAGCTAACTTCTAATAAAAGGATAGACTATAGTAGGTCCTAACTTTTCTAAAAGAACATAACAGAAATCTTACTCTGACTTTTCCTGGTAATGCTGTTTGAGAAGCTAATGCTAAGGAGCCAAAATGAATAAGTCACTGTAGTTTTCAATTTTGCCTTTTGAATTCACTTTTGGATTGTTATAGATTGGATTGTTAGATTTTGGATTGTGGAAAATACAAAAATACAAATGGAGGCTTTCTTTTATTGTGGCTCTACTCTTTGTAATATCAGAAAACAGTGGGGGCACTAGTAGCATCTTATCCTTTAAGCTTATCCAATGGAAATATTTATTTGATAGCATTAGAAGAAAATAGTCACTAATCCTAGGTATTCTTCATTGGATAAATGTACCTGTGGCAGAAAGACCAAGGCATATTAAAATAAGATTTTGTTTAAAATTTCTAATGATACCATCTAGAAGAATTTAGTGACATTAATGAAATATAAATATAATTAATGTCACTAATCTGATAATTTTTAATTCTTTTTCTTGTCTCTTTTGAGTTATACTGCTTTAAAAATGACTTTGAGATCTCTTATGTTCTCTAGTATCGGAATGGTAAAATTCTGATATTGAAAAATGTTTAGATTTTATTCTCTCTAGCTTTTGTTGGACTACATTTGTGGTGTATGGAAAATAAGGATAAGTAAGGATGACTTATTTTAGTGTCTAAATGTAACTGGGAAGGTTGTACTCTAGAGACTGATTTTTCTCATTAGCTGAATAAATTACACAGATATTAAAGTTTACTTGAATATAATTCATAGTATTCCAATTTTTGCTATTTAAATTTTCAGGCATTTTTGGAACTAGCAACAGAGGAAGCAGCTATTACTATGGTTAATTACTATTCTGCTGTGACACCTCATCTCCGTAACCAACCAATTTATATCCAGTACTCCAATCACAAAGAACTAAAAACAGATAATACGTTAAACCAAGTGAGTATGTGTGGGTACATAAACAAAATGGACATATTAAGCTCAAACTTATTAACAGATGTAACTATGGGCATTTTCTTGTTATTTTTAAGATATTTTCTTGCGATATGTCCCTAAATATTAAATATTATGTTAATTTACAAAAAGTATGTGCAGTCTATTTTCATGTTTTAAATTGGTACTTGAATTAAATAATATTTTTTCAGAGCATTAAGGTTCTGGTCAAAATGTTCATTTCCACGTTGCAAGTTCAGATTTTTGTGTAGAAACTTGTTTATGAGATAGGGCTCACTGTTAGCATAAACTGTAGAACTCTGCTGCTTAGACTTGTAAGGTATGATTTTTAATGCCTTTAGTTATTTGACTTTTTATAGGTCTTAGGTTTCTCCTGGAAATAATTTTATTGAAGATGTATGAATGGTTTTACTTGGGGAATGTAAGAATTGAGGATATATGAATATATGGATTTATTTTTTAAAAATGTGATATAGAAGATATTATTTAAAATTAATATATTTCTAAAAAATATAAGAATGGGTTTATGCCTAAATACATAGCATTGCAGGAATGGTCTAAAAACTTTAGCTCTTTTAATATAGTTTTTAGCTAATTATATCTTTTCTGTTTCAGTAAAATCTAAACTATATTGGATTCTTTGTCTTACTGAAAATATAATGGACTAATAATTCCTCATAGATTTTAACCATCATGAAAAGTGACCTTTCAAGATCATTTTGATAGTTTATAAATAAGCATTTAAAACTTTTTTTTGAAGGCTAAATATTCTGGATTTTTTTGTTTTAATTTGGTAATAATTTTCATTAATTTTGAACCACAAACTGTACTTCTAAAAATTTATCATTGGAAATATACCAAAAGAAAATACTCTGTATTCATTTTACTTAGAATTTAAAATGGTATTTATATTTCAATTTTGTTTTATATATTAGTATTTTTAGTAAAGTAATTCATGAAGGCATTCCCATTTTAAAAGCTTCCAATGCAAGAAACATGAAAAGGATAAAAATAAGGCATCTTTGTAATCTTAAATAAGGTTAGGAAATAAATGCACTTATTCTGGTTTGGGTTATTCCAGATACAGGGAACAATCAATGCAAAGTTGCTTCTGTTGAAAAAAAACATGGTTTTGCAGCCATATTTTTAGTTTTCAGAAACCCTTTAATCTTTTCTGGTCATTTTTTTTTTGTTAAAATTGGTTGTGTTTTATGATTTCACAGTTCTTTCAGTATACTAGTTAATAGTACTTTATTTTATTTATTAATTTTTAAAACCATACCTTTCTTTTAAAGATTTTATTTATTAGCGGGAGAAAGCATGCGGGGGGAGCCCAATAGGGGCTTGATCCCAGGACTCCCGAGATCATGACCTGAGGTGAAGGCAGACGCTTAACCCACTGAACCACCCAGGTGCCCATAATTAACAGTATTTAAAAAAAACCTTCACTATATATAAATTATTTCATTTCCTTCAGTGTTAGCTGTTAACGTTTGTTTTGTATCCATCTGTCTGTCCCTCCTCCCCCAGTAGTCTTTTCATATTTCAGAATTAGGTTTTACTTGTTGGATTGGTATGCTTTCCTCTAGATTAAGTAATGAGTTTGGATACTAAGCTGGGATCCCCCAAATACCAAGAAGGTCTGGGCCAATAAAACTCCCTTTAGAATTCCTGTTTCTTTGAAGGGAGCATTTTGTTGTTTTTGTTTTTTAAAGGTTAAGGAGAGGAGATGATGCGGGAGAGGAGGAAGAGGAGTTTAACTGTTTGTTCATTAGGCAGACTTTCCATTAACCCTTTTATATCCCCCCTCTGCCCTCTGTGACTCTCCCAGTTTCTCTGATTCATGTGGCTGTCAGTGCAAACCCTGTTTGCTATGTCTTCTGTGTCATTTGTTTCTGTTCATTTTCTGTATTCCAGAAATTTGATGAAAGTATTCTCAGCTAATGACATTCTCTCTTATTCAGTATTTGGGTTTGTTCCATTTTGTATTCGTTTTTGGGCATTTTTTATTAATTTTTTTAAAGATTTTATTTATTTGACACAGAGAGATAGCGAGAGCAGGAACACAAGCGGGGGGGAGCAGGAGTGGGAGAAGCAGGCCTCCTGCAGAGCAGGGAGCCCAATGCTGGGCTTGATCCCAGGACCCTGGGATCATGACCTGAGCCGAAGGCAGACGCTTAACAACTGAGCCACCCAGGCTCCCCTTTATTAAGTTTTTAATTTTAATTCCATTGCAGTTAACATGGTGTTATACTAGTTTCAGGTGTACAGTGTAGTGATTCAGCAATTTTATACATTACTCAGTGCTCATCATAAGAATGTACTTTCGTCCCCATCACCTCATTTATAGGCATTTTCATGGGCATTCATAATAGGAGAGGCAAATGAATATGAGTCAACCATGAATTCTTCCATGATCTTCATCAGATTACCAACTCTTTTCAATTTACTCTTATAATATCTGCCTAGTTTTCATCATCTTTCTTGTTACTTGAATAGCTCATACACACACAATCACTTCTTGGCTATATTGTTATAATAGCTCTTACTGATCTATTTTTTACTTTCCCCTCTTGAATTCTTTCTCCCTAGTACCTCTCCCTCCTCTTTCCTCCTCTCCCCTTCCCGTCAAACAAAGTTACTGCCCTACAGCAGATCCTTTTCATGTTCACAATAAAGGCCCTCAGAAGAGGTGGCTATTATTTCTGTTTTATTGACTATATATTTGCCTATGCTTCTACCCAAAAGTAATTGTAAACCTGGCATGCTTTCTCTTCTTTCCAGTCTTTTGGGGCCACTGTGTTTCTGTGATGCTACTTTTGCCTGGATTATTATGGCCGGCCTGCCTGCCCTTGTACTACTTTTCCAACCCACACTTCACATGGCCAGTTGCTACACATCTTCATGTCTCATCTTAGTTCCCTCCAGAAAGTTATCTTTTGATCCACAAAGAGTGAATTAGGTTTGCACTAAGAAACCTCAACACAAATTAAAATCATAGTGAAATACTACCATGTACCATCAGATTGATGAGATGAGTGATGCCAAGTGTTGGTAACAAGGTAGAGAAGCTAGAACTTTCATATATACGTATGGGAATGTAAATTCATAGAATCATGTTTAAAAACTTGAAATATGTAGTGAAGCTGAGCGTATACATATTCTTTGACGTAGTAAATCTATTCCTAGTTACATACCTGAGAAAACATTATATGTGCATCAAAAGATATGTATGAGAAAGCTCATGGAACACTAATGCATTAGTCCAAAGCTGGAAATGATCCAAATGTTCAGCAGCAGTAGAATATGTTGTGGCATATTCATTCGTTGGAATTTGTTAGAATACAAAAGAATGACCAAGCTGCTGGTACCTGTAAAACATGGATGCACATCATAAAAGTAATATTTATTGAAAGAAGCCAAAACAAAAAATACCAGACCAAAGTAGAATACATACTATGTGATGCAATTAGAGTTTTGATAATGTTCTATTTTTTATCTAGTCATTTCATAGATCTGTCCAATTTGTGATGTTTTATTGAGCTTATTCACTTCTGATTTGTGTCCATTTATATGTGTATGTAATGGTTCTCTAAGTTTAATTAAAACCTAGGTTGGCAAGCCAACTCTGTTTTCCTCAATTAAAAAAATGTAGAAAGTTATTTTTAATGATAATGGAGAACCTAATTATTAAGCTAAAAAGAGAAGATGGAGAGAAGTGAATAATGTTGGGGAAGAAGGTATGGAGTAGACATATACCTGTGTGCTTATATAGACTAGATACATATATGCTCATATGTGTAGATGGTATCTCTGGAGGGGATACCCACAATAATATTGGTGAGGAATGGGTAGGGGAAAGCAGGTAGGGTGATAGGGTTGCAGAGGAAACTTTACCGTTTGTACCATTTGGATAGTATATATATGATCATGTGATTCCTTTAAAAAGACATTCCATTATTTGAAAGAGGAGATGTTAGTGTTTTCCTAATTTGTGCTATTTCTTTGCTTGTAATAACAAATATATCCAAGGACATGCTTTACTAATGAAGGAAGTAATATTGCAGTATACTACTTAAAATACTTTGAGTCACTTAGCCAATATATAAATTTGTAGGTCATATTATTTCATGAGCATTTAAATAATGAGGTTTAACCAGATGGGCATATGGTCTTTTTGAATTCCAAACTCTGTGATCTCCTGGTTATGTGACATTTCAGTGAACTATTTCTTTTTTGTTTACAGATTTATTGAGATATATTCGATATATTGTGTAATTTAAGGTATATAATGTGTTGATTTGATACACTTCTGTATTGCAAAATGATTATCGCCATAGCAAATGTGCTGCTAGAGGGAGCACTATTTTTGTTTATTCTCATAAGTGTTGGCCTAATTCTTTTATCTTCTCCTTCCTTTTCATTTATCATGGTGTTCAGTTAATATTCCTATTCATCTGCCAGCATAGCTTTTTCAAACTCTAAAGCAATGTAACAGTATTTGTCATTGTTACTTAATAGTTATTTGCCTTTATATAGGTTTTTTGACTCCAGATAGGTAGAAAAATTATTTCCTTATCAATGAACCTGTCACAGTAGTAATATTCTATTCTGGTTTTTTTTTTTTTTTTTTTCCCAAAAAAACTCAGAAATTGTGTCTCAATAGTAGTGGATCTCTCCTGGTTTAATTAGCAGTATCTTAGAATTTATGCTAGTAATGAAAAAGAACTTAATATGTATCCTGAGTATTCCTCCTTTAAGATTGTATTAGAAATAAGCTTTATGGGAGTTTTTTTTTGGGTAATCTAGTAATCTTGCTGAGGTTTACCATGTGCCTTTCTTTTGGAGTGTATTAATAATGTTAGGTTGAAGTTTTATTGGTCTCTAAAAGTTTCTGATTATGTGAATCTGCCAAACTATATTTTGTTCTTTTTTTTTTTAAGATTTTATTTATTTATTTGTCAGCACAAAGCAGGGGGAGCGGAGTCAGGGAGGGAGAAGCACACTCTCGCTGAGCAGGGAGCCTGATGTGGGACTCAATCCCAGGACCCTGGGATCATATGACCTGAGCCGAAGGCAGACGCTTAACCAACTGAACCACCCAGGCGTCCCTATATTTTGTTCTTCTGAAAATAAATTACTTTGCCTATCTTTGCTTGTTCAGTATAGGTCCCAAACCCTAGATAATTGTTTTGAGGTAAATACTAGTAGAATACTTGAATTATAAACAGATAAAACCTGGCTATTGAGTGACTTAAATTTTGTTTCATCTGTATGTGTCCTAGAAAAGAAATGAGCTAATAGTGTAACATGCAGCAGAGTAGAAGTGAAAATACTGAGTGTGTTTTAAAGTGTTTATCTTTCAATTTTCAGCGTGCTCAAGCAGTTCTTCAAGCTGTGACAGCTGTCCAGACAGCAAATACTCCTCTTAGTGGCACCACAGTTAGTGAGAGTGCAGTGACTCCAGCCCAGAGTCCAGTGCTTAGAATAATTATTGACAATATGTACTACCCTGTAACACTTGATGTTCTTCACCAAGTAAGTTTAACTTAATTTTCATGTTTACCCATAAACTGGAGAAATAATGATACAGCATATAAATAATACTTTGATTTTAATGTTTTAACAGATATTTTCTAAGTTTGGTGCTGTATTGAAGATAATCACATTTACAAAAAATAACCAGTTTCAAGCTCTTCTCCAGTATGGTGATCCAGTAAATGCTCAACAAGCAAAACTAGTAAGTCTGGAGCTTTTTTTTTTTTTTTTTTTTTTGAGATAGTGATATTTTTCAGGGGCAGATAGACATACACGCATATATGTAGCTAATGTTATTAATACTGACATAACCTGGCAGTATAGATGGCACAAATTGGTGTCATTTAGATACTATTAGGAAAGCTTAACTTCGTGATGAGTGTTTCTTTTTAAGGATAGTTGTATGTGTAGTTATCTATAATATAGACTTCTGTTATTTTGCATTTTTGTTTGACGTAGGTCCGAAGTTTTAAGCTCTTGAGGGTAGAGCATGCACACCAGTAAAGATCTTAAAAGTTTTTCAGTGGGAGTTTCAGAGTAATTAATTTAGCTATCAAGACAGTTTGGCTAAAGTATATCATCACACATGTGGCTCAGATGTTATGATAGGTTCTTAGTTTATTTAAGACTACAGTATATTTAATATTCTTTTTAAAGATTTGTTTTTAAAGCCAGCTTTTTTGAATAGGTTTCTAGTCTACTTATTATTTACATCCTTTATATTTTTTTATTGTTATATATGGAGGGTAAGAAACTATTTATTAAAAGAAGTAAAATCTGTTCCCACATCATGGCTACCCTTGAAAACTGCATACCGTATTTTTACTTCTAAATGCCTTAATCCTCTGTTCATGTATTGTATTTAAATCCACCTTTGCTCTAAGCTCTTTAACTTCTTGTGTCATATTATCTCATTGTGATTATTATTCTGTTGTTAAACCATTAAATATTCATTATTAAACCATTACATCAACTGTCTTATCTTCCTTTACCTTCTGTCTTACCTCTTTTTCTCTCTTTTACTCTTACTTTCAAACTAATTACAGTGTAGTACTTCAGTGCTTTCTCTAGATTAAGATAGATTGTATGGAACCCAGACCATTTTTGATTGTTTCATTGTGTTTCTATCCTCAGTCTCATTTGGGAAGCAAAAATAGCTTCAGGTAGCACAAAGTCTGCACCGTTAATATTGGCATAATTGAAATGGTTTAGCAAGTATTATATCATTTTTTTCTGATATTTTATGTTGTAAACAGAACAGGAATTTTTCCTGTGTTACAAGGGGAGGCTAAAATTACTTATCATAATACACACTATATGTGAGGTAGACATATTTTCAGCCTGTTTTTCTCCAGTATGTTGTTACTCACTGGTTCTTAAGTTACATGACCTAATCTTAATTATATTTTCCTTTTCAGGCATACATTAACACTTGGAATTCTTTTTTCCAAAAATAATTTCTCTTTATGTGCCCAGCCCTCCAACTTTGGAGATACTTTGTATTTAAAGAGTAGCCAAAATCCATGTGGTATGAAGTTTGATCAGTAGCAGACAACCTAGAAGCCATGATCTTTATGGCATTTTTTTTTTTTTTGTACCTTCACAACATATTTATAGTGCGTGTTTTTCTTAATGTGGAATATTTTTTGTCATCCCTTCTGATGCAGAGGGATGAGTATTTGGTAAAAGACCAATGAAATGGAATTTGATTTGGAATTACACTGCATTTGGGCTATAATTCAATGGGGAAAGTAGTTTATATGTGTATTTTATCTGAAGTAATCTATAGTAATCTAAAAGATTATGCTTTAATAATGTTATCAGGTATTTGAAGTTTTCATTTAGCCAATCTTCCGTGTACAGATAATAAGCATCAGGTATTTGTTAACGTCATATACACTCACTCAGGTCTTTTCTACAAAGATGTACAATTAATTGTAATTCCAAGAGAGTAGGTAATTATTTAATATTAATTACTAATTAACTATTCTGGTATCTGAACTCAACTTCATTTCACTGTTATAATGAGAAGGAAAAATATTTATTTCCCAAACTTGCTTGCCCCATTATCTTGTAACCCTGACACCTTGTTAAAACATATAGTTTTGATGACTGTGGTAATCTTTCTTCATGCCTGTATCTGGACTGTTTAGTATACCTAGAGAATATCATATAATCTAGCAGTTGGTACCAGTTGAAATTCATCATCATCAACTACAACTAGACTAGGCCTTTTACTTGAAAAACCTTACCATATTTCTCTAGTCATCATGATGTCCCATTTTTCACAATGACTATACCAGAAAATTCTCATTCCACCAAGTCCCTCCTTACTCCCCCTTATGACCTTGCCTCCTGCTTCTCAGGAAAAATAGAAACTATCAGATGGAAACTCAGTCAGCTTTTCTCACAAAATCTACTTATACCACAACTATCTTTCTCTTCTAATAAAAAGCATAGATATTTCTAAGACCGTAACACCAGATTCTATCCTCTTCTGCCCTCCAAGAGACTTTGCATTGTCATCCCCTCTTTCTCTTATATTTTTCTCTCTGTTGGCTACTTCTCACCAGTGTTTCAAACATCCTTAAATCTCTTTCATTGTATGTGAATTTACCCTGAATTCCACGTAACTCTCCATCTGTTCACCTATTCTTTTCCCTTTTCATTTATAGGCAGATTTACTAAATAAGCTCTCTTTGTTTGCTGTTTATACTTACCTCCTTTTTATTTTTCTACCTACCGCAATTTGGTTCCAATCCCCCTTTACACAAATTGTTTTTCGCAGTGTCACCAGCGATCGCTACAGTGCTAAATCTCAACCGCATTATTCAGCCCTTATCATCCCTATCCTCTTAGCTAACATTTGACTCTGTGAGCCATTCTCTTTCTTAAACTCATCTCTTCTCCTGGTGTCTAACACTTCTCGCTTAGATATATTCTGCCTCTCTATGTCTTATCATATCCCTCCCCTTTCTGCATGGGGGACTACCTGTTCCCACATCTATATTATACATTTGTGACTCTGACAGTGCCCACATGCCCACACTCTCTAGCATCAGATCTTTTCTAAGAAATCCAGACTAGGAACTTAGTGGACCATCAGGCACCTTCAGACTTAGTGTGTTCAATTCAACTCCTGTAACTTAACCCCCCTGCCCCCCCAGAAAAAACCCTGCCTCATCTGTGGTGTTTACTGTGATAGTAAAGCTCAGGGTACCAAATTTGACATCAATAACAAGCCAGAAAACAGGGCTTTTATTCCTTTTACTTTCAGCCTATCACCAAATCTTATTGATTCTCATCCTAAATTTCTGTCAAATCTATCCTTTTGTCTCCCACCTCTCTTGCCACCACCCTAGGCTAAGCCAGGTGTTACTCAAAGTGCTGGTCTCTGATGTTACCAGGAGCTTTTGCCAAAATACAAGTCAGCATACTTCTAGCTATAATGTGTTTAGTGTGATATTGATAAAGATTCTGACATAGACTCCTTATCTTCATGCAGATGAGTTTGGGCTGCTAGTCCATGAATCACAGCTTGAATAAAGCACTGATCTAAGCCATCATCTCTTAAATCTTCAGTGGCCTTCTGACTCAGGTCACCACTTTGACTTCTTCCCCTACACCTGTTTTTCCACAGAGTACAAAGAATGATCTCAACTTAAAGTCCTATAACTTCCATTGTCAGTGCCCTTCAGTGACTGACTTTTGTCCTTAGTATAAAGTCCTCAGTCCTTAACATGGCTTACAAAACTCTTAATCAGTCCTCAGCTTGTCTTGCCTTTTACTATATTGGACTTTTTAAAATAGCTTGCATATGCTGTATTTTTCTCTGATTTCTCAGGCTTACAGCTTGATGCTGCATTTGCTTCTACTGCTTTCTCTTTGTCTTTTTATGTCCAACTCTTCCTGTTTTCTTTCAGGTTTGCAAGTCTCAGAGAGGTCTTCCATGAACTTCCAACTACATTATATCCCCTCCTTTTCTTAGTTCTCACTACCACACATCAAATTTATAATTATTGTTAGATGTCTGTATTTTCAGTTTTACTCTAAGTCATGTAAAGAGTGGATACCTTGTGTTCTTTGTTTTCTGCTGAATTCCTAGAACATAGCACAGTGTATGGCACATTGTAGGTATTAGAACTTTCATCCCATGTCACAACTCTCCCAGCATCTGCTGTGTTACAGATCTCTTCCCATTTTGCAGTCATCCTTATATATCTCAGTATATTATGGAATGAGTTAGTTCTAAACTTTAGTAGAGTTGCTACATTTTTATGCTTGTTTAAACAATGGAGGTTATATAACCTTATAGGCAAAAGAATACAAGTTTAGAAAGAGAATCTCAAGCCTACCTCTCCTCTTCTAGTGACAGTTGCTCCATATGAATGGGAGATGAAAAATGTGTCTTAAGCACTGGGAATTCAGTTAGCTGGCAAGGTGTACCTTTAGGTTTTGCTGAAGAGAATTTATAGTGTTCTTCAAAGTATGGTCCAGAGCCCACCTAGGTTCTTGTCATGTAGATTGCTTGTTTAAAAAAAAAAAAAAATGGGATTCTTAGGTATCCTGAACTAAGAAATCATAATCTTTGGGGGTGGCAGCTCAGTGCCCTGTTTCTGTTTGTTTTTGAAAGCTCTGGGAACCACTGCTATGTAAACGCAGTTTGAGTGATAGAGCCAACGAAATTCTTTTTATATACTAGTTAAAATTTTTGGCAGTTATTTTCAGTTAATTTGAGAATTTTGCCCCCTAGCATTATGCTTTATAAGAGAATAACAGCTCAGAAAAAGATTAACAGTGGAGGTATTAGTGAGGGTTGGAGGGAAAAATTCAACAATCTCTTGAATTTGTCCTAAGGTTCATATATATTTCAGTCCAGTTTCTAAAAAGGTCATGCAAAAAAGTGTTGGTCTATTATCAAAATAATACTAGATTTACATGCCTAATGGATCTTGGTCTATATAGACATCAGGCTTAATCTATTGATGTATTATCAGAAGAACTGTTCTTTCATTTTCACAGTGGTTTATAGAGCTAAACATTTTTCATTTCTAAACCATTTTATACAGTAAATGTTTGTTCTTCTAATGAAAAATTAACAATATATTCCCTTGTTCTTTAGTTTGTTCTAGGCTTATATCCAGCTGGAGTAGACATGATTATGTAGGACCAGGAAAAAAAAAACCCATAATAATTGTAACAGCAGCATATGTCTTTTATAATTCACATTGTACTTTGACATATGTGATCTTTTATTTAATCCTCAAGGTAACCTTGTGAGGATCCTGGCAGCCATTATTATCTGTTTTCCAGATTAAGAAAGATCCTGAGATTCAGAGGTTAAGTAACTTGTTCAAGATGACCTAATTCAGTGTAGGCTTTCAACTCTAGAGCTTGCACTCTTCTATTCCCGACCTTTCCTGGGATGACATCGCATTTTCTAGTTCAACAGTCTATTTTGATTCAGGTTGAGCACCTCAAGTTAAGGAAATAATAGTATTCGCCCCAGTTCATGGGAATTGCTATTATGCATTATAGTGATACTTATTTGGCTTGAGGCACTTCATAAAATGTGACATCAAAGTACTGCCATCCAGCAAAAAATGTGTATATATAATAAAATTAAAGTATGCAGACTGTTATGGTATGACTTTGGCAGGACTGACTATATTTGTAATCCTTGTTTATTTTTTTTAAATTGAATTATTTGCAGATTTTTTTTTAAATTGAAAGCATTAGCATATGTTTCACTGGTTGTATTTTAGATTTAAGTAGCACTTTTCTATTTAAAGAAGATAGTATTTGTGGAAATGAATACATGTACAGTTGGGATAACAATGATGTATGATACTTGATCCCTTTCCTGGTGTCTTTTATGTGCAGGTCTTCATTGTTGGGTTTTATTGTCGAAGTCCTGTTCTTTTCATTCCTTAAGACTGCTGATATACTTTATTCACTTTTACAGGCCCTAGATGGTCAGAATATTTATAATGCTTGCTGTACCCTAAGGATTGATTTTTCCAAACTTGTGAATTTGAATGTAAAATACAACAATGATAAAAGTAGGGATTATACTCGACCTGATCTTCCATCTGGGGATGGACAGCCTGCATTGGACCCAGCTATTGCTGCAGCATTTGCCAAGGAGACATCCCTCTTAGGTATGATTTTTATTGTCTATACCACTTTTCTCCCATTTTACCAAATGGGAAGGTGCCTGTTAAACTTCAGTAAGTATAATGAATCCCCCATTTTGGAATTTAAGAAATTGTGTTAGGCTTTATTTTATTTTATTTTTTGGACAAGAGGCATTTGAATGCTGTTGGTAGAAAAAAACCTAAAGTATTAGGAAAATTCTATCAGCTATATTCCTTTCACCATCCTCATTTTCTCTCTCAGAATAAAAAGAAAAGCTCTGATGAAATACTGTTGAGTTCTTAATTTCACATTAAATTTGATGTCACACTGTCTAGGTCTAAGGCCAGTTTTAGAGTCCTTGTGTATATTCTTTGGAGCTAATCTAATGGTTATAATTTAGCACTGCATAGAAACAGTGAAAAGTGAACAGGCAAAACATGTAATGGAAGTAGTCATATGGATTTTTTTCAACACATGTTATAGCCTGTCTCTTAAAAAACAATTTAAACTGGGAAGGATTTTCTATAAAATTTATTTTGGTATTCACATTTTGTCTTAATTATTTATATTTCACCTCATTCTACAATGGATCTGACTCACCTCACACAGACAAGAAAAACAATGCAAAAATTTGCAACTAGTTGATGGAATCAAGATGAAGAAAAAATAGGGGAAAGTGTTATTTTGCAAATAAAATGAGTGAAGTGATTTATAACTTAAGATGAAATTTTATAGTTTTATTTGCTGTGTTTGGGAAATTCTTGGTTTCTTATATATGTGTAAGATTATCTTTAAAGTTTCTGTCCATTTGGAACTGAAGATTGATGAGTTATAAACTAGCTCTTATAGTTCAGTTTATGTCTCAGTAAAAGTATATTATAATGAAGTAATTCTTACAAGTAGATACATATTTACTGTAGATATGTAACACTTGTGCTATCCATTATAAGTATGTAGTAATATAAGTGATACATCCATGAACAGAGACACCTTATGCACAAGAGAAGCAATTGATATTTGAAATTAATTCTGGTAACTTCAGACAGAATTGACCCTTTATTCTGATTTTCTAATACATCTAGCACAAACAAACCATAATTGTTTATCATGATTTTAACACATTCTTTAGGTTAATAACATTCTTCTCTAACAGAATCTCTTTATCACTGTGTGGGCTTAGTTTAAGCCTTTATTCCCTCAACTTGGCTTGTTGACTATTTCATAGTGTACCATTTTTAAAGGTAAAGTCAAGAGTGGGACAATGAGTGATACATGATCTTTGCTTATTATTACTATAGATTCTTAAATTATTTACTGATAGAAATTGTATTATTTTATAGAAGAGAAAAACAGCGTTTATTGAATAACTCCCAGGTCCTAGGCATTCTACTAGGCACAGTAGATCTGCTGGAACAGATACATTATTTAATCATTAACACAAAGTAGATAAATTCAAGATTTTACATGCAGTTTCTGAGAAGTTTAAAAATTCACATCCAGGTCATTAAACAGCTTAGTGTAAAATATCAAGAAATTCCAGCTAGCATCCAGTCCCTTCCTTGGACTTGAAGGAGTTTGTGTGTTTTGCCCATTTGGGTATAGTTAGACGTGTCTGTGTGTGTTTGGATTCTGGGTGGAGTCCTGGTTAGAAGTCACCTGGATTCTTCTAGGGAATTCATCTCTGTTTTCCTTGTAACCTCATGGCCCTGGTGAAATTTCTTTTAAGTAGTAATGAAATGTCTTTCTCATAGAAGATTATGAAGCCCTGGCATCATTGTATCCTCCTCTATACATTTATTATTCATTTTTCAGGTGTTCTGCATTTTTTGCATTAAAAGCATATGAGTAAAGTTCACTACTTAATAAATTTGTCTTCATTTTCTAGCTCTATTTTGAATATTTCAGTATATCTTTATTTCTGCACTCTGATAAGAAAGAGTGAAGATAATGTGAATTCACCTTTTTTTTTACTAAATGACTTCATCATTTACCTGTTTTAATGGTTTTGCATCTTGTTATAACTGGGTTTTTATATTAAGTATCCCCAGATATTTTTTGAATGTTAGATAAGTTAAAAGTTTCAAAAATCAAATAATGCTATGGACTCTGGTAGTTTTGATAATTTACAAGAGGTAACCATTTTTTCTTTTATTTTCTATGTAAATATGTAATTTTATACAAAATTAAAATCACACTGTATGTGCAGTTCTGTGTTATGTTTTATTGTAATTATTAGTAAGAATTTTTAAAAAATTTTAATAGCTGTCTAGCATGCTAGTGGATTTATAGTACTTTTGAAAGTACCTTTATTGGACATTTAATCTACTTCCATACTTTTTATTAACATATATATAGCATTGTTACAAACACCCTGTACATAACTTTTTTGTCTTTCAGATTATTTCCTGAGACTAGATTCCTAGAGCTAGATTTATCAGGTCAAAGAAAATGTTAGAGACTCCTGATTCTTACTGCAAATTTCTTTCTAAAAAGATGATATTAATATGAATGATCTATGAGGCTGGCTATTCTACTTTTTTGCCTATCAGCATTGAGTATTATATTTTGGATTTGTTAGGATATTAATTTGATAGGAATACGAATGTGTCAAACTGTTATTTTAATTTTTATTTTATGAGCTAGCTTATAAATTTTAAATGCTTATTAGACATTTACAAGTCTCTGAATTAGTTGTCTAAGTTCTTTCTATTGGGATGTACAATACATGTAAAATGTGTATTCAGGGTATTCATACTTCATAAGAGCTGAGTCTTCAACTTGATTCACAGTATTTTAGACTAGCCAGTTTATAGAAAAATTATTTTTAAATAATTTATCTCAATCCAAAAATATCCATCTATGGGACGTGAAGTTAACTTTTCCGCCCCACACATTTGTGGATATTGTGATCTTTATAAGGAACCACTTGTGTTTTGCCTTTTAAAGTAGTTTTCAAACACCCTTTATAGTAAAATTCAGTATTACTTTAGTGAGGTCACGTCTTCTGGAATGGTAACTAAATCTTTTCTATGTTTATTTGCCTCTAGTGAAATTTATTAAGGCAGGTGACTTCAACATACAACAAACTGGTATCAGTGAGATCCATTTCCTGCTGAGTCTTCCTCAAACAGTACTTGTTCAAAATGAAATAATAGATCTCTCTTTATTTCAAAGATTCTGTAAGAACACAAATAACTAGGTGATCCTTCTTTTCTGCAAATATTTAGGGGGATTCACTTTACCTTGTATAATTTTTATATCTAAGAACTTGACTGAATTTGGAATCAATATATTTTAATTGGTTTATTTTACACAGTAATTTTTTTTAAAGATTTTATTTATTTGAGAGAGAGAGAATGAGAGAGAGAAAGCACATGAGAGGGGGGAGGGTCAGAGGGAGAAGTAGACTCCCTGCTGGGCAGGGAGCCCGATGCGGGACTCGATCCAGGGACTCCAGGATCATGACGTGAGCCGAAGGCAGTCGCTTAACCAGCTGAGCCACCCAGGTGCCCCTACACAGTAATTTTTTTAAGACTAGCTTTTATACCTGGCTTCTGTTTTCCTTTTAGTAACTAGGGGTCATAGTGTCTCAGAAAATTAATTTTTTCAAGAAGGAAAACTGAGGGCTTTGTAATTAATTAGAAATCTGACATCTAAATACATAATCACAAACCTGGCAGACTATTAGTTATTCACATATTCTACTTCATAGAACAAAGTGATAAAAATCCTTGAGATTTATAAATTGAGACATCGTTACTATGATCATTTTATCATGTTTAAGAAGTGCAGTTAATTTATTAAGGGGTGGATCACTTTTAGAAAAATTGCTAGAAGTAATTTTTCATGATCTTGTTGTCTACCTTTTCAGAATTAGGGAAGATAATTTGTACAAAGAATACTTATGTTAGAGCTTTCTATGCATTTTGAGTTGAATAAAGTAGCAGTCAGCCATCTCATCATATGGCCTTAACAGAAAGGCAAAACAAATTTTTTATGAGAAATCTGTTGACCTTAAAATAATTGATAATGGAAAACAGCTATAACAAACCTTTGTTCATGAAGGTAAATCTGTAGTTCCATAGAACAGTATCTCAAGTTTTTCTGCACATTGAAATCACCAGGCCCTACCCTAGACTGAGAATCATGAATAGTGAGTTCTAGGAGTTTGTAGTTTTTTTAAGATCTCAAGATGATTTTACTGTGTAATAGAAATTGATAATTACTGCTATAGAGAAAAGTTTGTAATTTTTAGATGCTAAATTTTAGCTTTTTAACAAAGTTAAAAAGTTTTCTTTAACAAAGTTAAGAAGTTTTCTCAGAAAACTTCTTTATAGCTTGTTAAACAGTATTTTATACTTTGTTTATTCATGCCAAATAAATATATCTTGGTATAATTGTTCTGATAGAACATTGTTTAGCTGTTAAATTGAATTTGTTTTCTTCTGTGTTTGTGATACATAAAATTAACAAGTAAGCTTTAAAATATTCTTTTAAAGTTATTTTTAAGTGATTTCTGAATCTTGTTTTGTTACTTTTGAATGGCTTATTCACATGGTAATTTTAAAAAACTTTTTACTGTCAAAGAGTTCAGTCATCATATAGCAATGTAGTGAATTCCACATTTGCATCATCTTGATTTAGTAGTTTCTACACTTGTTTTATCTGCTCATTTTTTCTATTGTATTTTGAAGCAAATCCTTGACATCATGTCATGTCATCTCAAACATTATCATAATATCTTTACAATAATGACATTTTCTTATCAAACCATAATATGATTATCATACCCATCAAGTTTGACAGTAATTTCTTAATGTCATTGAATACCCAATCCATCTTCAAATTTCCCCAGTCATCTCAAAAAATGTATTTTAAGAGTTGATTTGTTCAGAATAGGATCCTCTCAAGGGCCATACATGGCATTTGGTTGTTATTTCTCCTAAGCCACTATTAATCTGTGATAGTTCTCTGCCTTCATCTTCACCCTCAGTTCCTCTGACTTAATGAAGAAACCTAGTTA